AAAAGGAATGAGTAAGTGAAGGAGGAGAGAGCCAGCTTTGCATGGGGCGCCTTCTGAATGTTGGATATCTGTCTGAAAGTTTAGCAGTCCATGTTTGATAGCAAGCAAATAAAGTAAGCTGTTTTTGGTACGCTCTGTCATTTCATTCATTCAGCAAATAGTCATTGAGAAACTTTAACACACAAGCACTGTTTTCGTGCTGGGTATATAGCGGTGAGTGAAGAAAATAGACAATTCCTACACTTGTGAAACTTACATCCTAATTGGGGAGTTAGTAAACAAATCAGCAAAATATATGTTATTATATCAGGCAGCAGTTGAGCACTCTGGAGAAAAATAAGTAGGAAAGGACCATAGGAAGTGGGAATGTTTGAAATTGTACCCGGGATAGTTGAGGAAGCCCCTGAGAAGGTGACATTTGAGCAGGGACATTAGAAGGAGAGGAAGTGAGTCGTCTGGATACAGGGGTTTGGGGCAGGGATATTTGTAAGCAGGGGGTGCAGTCGGGACAAAGGCCCTGAGGCAGGAGCGTGCCTTTGTGCCAGGACCAGCAGCATCAGAATGGTCTTAGCAGAGGAGTGAGGCGTGTGAGGATAGGCTGAAAGGGAGAGGGAGGGGCCAACTCCACAGTTCTTCTAGGTCATTGTAAGGATTTTAGGTTTTTCTCTAAGTACATGAAAACCCCCTGGAGGGTTTTTAGGGGAACCTCATCATTTCCACCTTAAGAGGGTTCCTCTGGCTTTTGTTTTGAGAATTGACTTTAGGAGGTAAAAGCAGAAGCCAGGAGGTCACTGAGATTATTTTAGTAATGCGGGTGAGATGTGCTGGTGGTGGCCTGGACCTCGTTGTAGTGGGGCTGCTGAGAAGTGGTTGGATGCTGAATGTATTTCGGAGATAGAACTGACAGGATTTGCTGAACACTTACTTATAGGTGAATTTGAAAGGACGAGATGATTCTCATCCAGGATGAATGCAAGGTTTTCTTTCCTGAGCGTGTGGAAGGAAGGAGTTGCCATATACTAAGATGGGGAAGACTGGAAGAAGCAGGAAGAGGGTATGGACTAAAAAAAAATACACAGTGTGAGAGCAGTGAATTGCAGTGTTATTCGGGGACCATACTGAATTCTCTAGACCAGGAGACAGCCTCTCAGTTTACTCTGAGGAACTGTTCCAAAGAGGCAAGGGAAGAGCCAGGATATATATATGAATTTTTTGCTGGAAAAAACATGTAGTCAATTATAAAAAGGTCACAGCTAAAAAAAAAAAAAAAAAAGGTCACAGCTAATCACAGAGCACAGACTTCTCAAGTTAATGATTTTAGTGCTTTTCTTTGTACGGGAAGATGCAAGAATCTGGGCTCATTGAAATTTTTCCTTAGATATGCATCTTAACTGTCTCGGGCCAGCATATCCAGAACACAGCATGTTTCCTGTTTTTCTCCAGCCTGAATTCCCAGCAGCAGGCGCTTTCAGTGGGTGACTGTGGCTGCTTATGGCTTGATCCTTCTAGAACTTGAATGGCAGGCGACATTTTTTTTCTCTAGGGACATCATATCGGGAGCTCAGTTTTAGACAAGTTAACATTTGAGATGCATATTAAATATCTAACAGGAGGTGTTAGTTAAGCTTTTGGGTCCATAAGTGTGGAGTTTGGGAGTTACTGCCTATAGGTGGTATTTCTTTCTTTCTTTTTTAAAAAAATATTTATTTATTTATTTGGCTGCATCGGGTCTTAGTTGTGGCACGTGGGATCTTTGTTGTGGTGCGCGACCTCAGTACATGTGGCCCGTGGGCTCTAGAGCACGTGGGCTTAGTTGCCGTGCGACATGTGGTTCCCGGACCAGAGACTGAACCCACGTCCCCTGCATTGGAAGGTGGATTCTTAACCACTGGACCACCAGGGAAGTCCCTGTAAGGTGGTATTTCTACTGGACTGAATGAGATCACAAGGAGTACAGACAGGGAAGAAAGCCAAGGGCTGAGCTGGGAGCCACTGCAGCCCTCCGAGGTCTGGGGACTGGTCTCTTGTGCGGGGATTGGGGGTGGGTAGGAGGGAAACTAGGAGCTGTGGGTACCTGGAGGCTGACCTTGGGCTCCTCACAGCTCAGCAGGCTCTAATCAGGTGGGTGGATGGTTGAGATGTCTGCAGGTTCTTTTCTGATCCTTTGTTTCAGGAAGCAGGGGTCAGGCTGGTCATTGGAGATGGAGGGTGGGGGTGGGAGTGGAGGTCTGAGGGGCAGGGAGGGTGTGAGACCCGGGCCTGGAGGGTGAGGACCAGGGAGATGGAGCTGGACTGCTGGTGGCACCAAGGCTTCTCCAGGTTAGTGGTCAGGCATCAGAGCGTGCCAGCCAGCGTGGGGGCGTGTTGTATTTTATCCTCGTGGAGCTCCGAGGAGACAGACCTGGAGAGTGTGGGAACTTAGAGGTGAGCAGCGTTGGCCCCAGGTAAGGAGGGCAGCCAAGGAAGTTGAAGGTACGTGTGATTCCCTGCGGGAGTCCGAGGGTTGGCTTTGACTCTTTGATAGAGTCTCCGTGTTTCTCTCTTTGGCCCCATGCAGTCTCTTCCTGATGTGGAACTATTATCACTTTTTTCCCTGTGGGCTGTTGAGCCACGTGCGGTTTTGTTGAAGATCACTGCCTCCGGTGAGCTTGCCTAGGTGGCGTTTTGTAGCTGTTTTTGTTTGCTGTCCTGCTGTCACGCTGCGCTAGCTGTTTCAGTCTCAGAATGGCCAGTTCCCGGGGGCGCATGGAGCAGACCCCACAGCCCACCAGTCCTTCCCTTGGCAAGTCCTCCTTCACCCCCAGCACCTCATGTCGGAGTGGTTTCTTTCTACTTCAACACTCTCCGCTACTGGTCTTCTCTCCGAACTTGCTAATAAACTCCCGAGGGCAGAAAGTGTCTCTTGTGTCTTCCTTTGCACGAAGCACGTAAATATCCGGCTGTCGGCCTCTGGGGTGTTATGGGAACCTTCCGGGCCGCTGCTTCCCGGCACACAGCTTAGTGTCAGGTTCTGTCCTCCTGTCCCATCACGGCATCCCGGCTCCTCTGCCGGCCTTGGGAGGACTGACCCAGGGTTCTTTGTGAGAAGCCTCCCCCTGGGTGGAGCCAGGTAATCTTGGTGAATGCTGAAATATTTGAGCCAGATGCACCTCCTCCAAGCGGGGTCCTTTGTCCCCCGAGGTTCAGGGAAACAGGAGCCGCCCATCTGCCTCTGGGCCCAGGCTTCTCCGGTAATAATAGGATTGCTTAGGGGACGCCAAAGCGATTTTTCTTTTTAAACAGAAAAGATTCACAGAGCCTGGGGAGGTGGGTAGGAGAGAAACAAGATGCATTTTACTTTGGAAAGTTGCTGAAAAACCTTGTACAGGTGGGAGGCAAAATATTTTAGTGCATGGAGACACTTGAAGCCTGGTAGTTCTAGAAGGGGTGCCTCGTGTTGTGGATGAAAATCCTGCGCGAACACCATGAAGATCCAGTCTGTAGTCCAACTCAGTAAGCGTGTGTTTGACATCGGATACTTGTTCATCACCTCGTTAAATCTATGGGCAGATAAGACATAAGGACCTTGTCTTCCAGGAGCTTACATGTTTCCTCGTGTTGGGAAAATTAATGAAGTAGTCTCGTTCAGGTTTCAGAGGCAGAAGCAGGCCTCTGCCCGACCTGTGACCCTACCTGGACTGTGCTTGCTTGCACACCTAACAATTGCTGCTAGCAAGTCAGGTGGCCCTTACGATCAGAAAGGGAGTGGGTCTTGGAATTTCTTGAGCCCTGGGGACCTGGCCAGCCCTGCGGGGTCTGGAAAATCTCGTGACTCACATGGTGAAACCAACAGCATTGCCAACGTGTGTCCAGAGCTGCATTTTTGCGCGCAAACTGATGATATCCATTTGCGGCCTGGGATTATAAACGGAAGCCCCCAGAACTCCGATCTGAAGTCTCACCCGTGGGGTGGACGCACCGCCCGGGACCCTTCCCAACTGGGGCTCCAGATTGCTGTCCCTCGGGACTTCCCAGCTGCTCTTTGGATCTGGAAGTAGATGTCGGCCCAATTCAGTGATGTGTACTCTGTTGTGTGTCTCTAATATTCTTATTGCTTTCCTTCTGATGATTGTATATTAAAATTAAGTTTAATCACCTTGCATTAAAGAATTGATTGAAGCTGTTTATTTTTGGGTAATGAGCGGTTATTTTGCCAGTGAATCCAACGAACCTTAAAACCGAAAGCAGGCTTTCGACAAACACCTGGTGCTGATCGCATGCTTGGCCAACTGTGGACTTAGCTGAGTGTATCCTCAGTGGCGGGAGAAGACTGGTTCCCCAATAATACCTGCCAGGTCTGTGGTGTTGGCTTTAGTGACACTGGAATTCAGATAAGGGAGGGAGCCCCTCCAGGCTGGGTGGAGGCGACTCCCTGAGAGGCAGGACTTAAGGGATAAGGAGGATTAGATGGGGAAGGGGCGGGAACCTAGGGGTCAGGTACGAGGAAAGGGGAGGTGCCAGAAAGTGGGGTTTGGACTTGATTCTCTAGTCTGGGAGCCTGGCTCATGTTCTGGCTGTTTTGCGGGTCCCTTAGATTCCAAAGGAACCAGGGCGAATCCACCATTTCCATCCCCATAATTGCCCCCCACCCAGTTCCACCTCCTCTCTGCCAAACTTGCGTCACCTGCTGTGATCTCTTGATCTCAGAGCCCTGAGGGCCTCCTCTGCTATTAATCCGGCTCTGCTATTCCTTTTCTCTGCTCCTTGTAACTCTATAATCCCCCCCTCCTCTGAGTTCTCATGCCTGCCCAACCTATTTCTAAATCACAAATGTAATCATGTAAGTCCTCTGCTTCAAAACTGGTGGTTCTCCCCTATCCACAGGATAAAGTCTAAACTTCCTACCCTTTACAGCCTAACCTGGCCCAGCCTCCTTCTTCTGGCTGTGTTCTGAGTCTGAGTGACCATTTAGGAGAATTAAAATTATTTTGCAGTAAAGTATTCAAATTTTCCATAGTTATTGTGCTAACAGGGTAGACTATTGAAAAGCACTTAGAACATATGAGGCCAACATACTTTCCTTGTTAGCTATTCATAGCTACAGCACAGAAGCAGATAACGATCCCGTATCACCAAGGAAAAATTGAACTAAGAGTAGTAACTCATATTTGTAAAGATAACAGAAAGATAAATGACCTTTGAGGAGGATTTCCGCCCAAAATGGTAAAAAAAAATTTTTTTAATCTGGTGTTCAAAGAGATGGAAACACACTTATGATGCCTAATAAAGGAAATGTGAGGGGGTCAGCAGGCATACATAGCTCCTGACAGATCCTATCAGGAAACATGAAAGCCATAGGTAAGGAAGTAGGATTTGAGTGATCACGGGTACGCCAGGCTCATCTACGCTGACCCCTGCATGGGTTTGGGGGCCAAGGTCCTTGGCATCAAGCATGCCTTTCCTTTTTGGGTCACTGATTTGAATGGCATTTCTTGGAAGTGGAGGTGGATTCTTTTTTGAACACATGGAAGATAAGGCAACTCAGACACAGTTGGGAACTGGCTGCCCTGAGCGTGTTTCAGAAGTGGAAGCAAACAAGTTGTTACATCTCCACGGACTAAATGAGAGGCGGAAGAATAAGGAAGAGTCTTGAAGGACTGACCCGTGAGGAATGGACCCGGGGTGAGCCCGCCTTCTCTCAGAGAGAACAGGTCTCTTGGCCAGGAGTTCTTGGGGGGCAGCGATGGCAGTTTTAATGGGGGAGGAGGGGTGATTGTAGGCAACCCATAAAGAGGCAGAGCCTGCAGTGGCCTTGAGCAGAAGGGGGCGTGGTTCCAAACGCCCTCTTCTGGTGCACGCCCCCGCAACCCCCTCTTCCCCGACTAAGGGCACATTCAGCTGGGGGGAGTAAGCCAGGACACAGAGTAACTGTTTTCCCAACTGACTGAATTCCGTCCTCAGTGTGGACACCCTGCACGTCCCTGCCGTAGGAGGTGCTGCCAGGGCTGGCGGCTGGCAGAGCTGTTCCTCCCATGGGGGATGAGGTCGCCTCCTTCCTGTGTCTGAGTGGGTGAGGGTGGGAAGGTAGGCGGGGCTGCCCAACACAGCACGAGGCTCCCCAATTGCCCCACTGTCTACGCCACCCTTAATCCTCGTGTGGAGCAGCGGGTAGCCTCAGAAGCCTAAACTGTGACTTAATTCCCGACGGTTCTGCCGCATATAAAATACGGATGAGTCTTTTTTGCCCGTGAGTTTCTGCAGTCAGCTCTTAGTGAAGTCAAGCTGTTGGTCCAAGGGAGAACAGAGCTGCAGGAGACATGGAACTCTCTTACACCTTCTTGAAAAAGCAAGTCCTGTTGCCTGGGAAATACTTTTCTCCCCTAGTGATCTGCACCCCACCAGTGCTGGAGCCATGGAAGAGGCAACTGAAGTTATTCCAAGAAAGCGCTCGAAGTTTGGTAGTAAAAGGAAGTGACATTTCTCCCCTGCCTCCAGGCTGGTCTCTTGGGGAGTGCACAGGGCCAAAAGGAAACTGCTCAGTGTGGGGACGTGATTGCGTGCTGGGCTCCTGTACGCGTCGGCCGGGTGTCCTAGCGGCACTGGGTACGCGTAGGGCCGTGTGCAAACATCCCCAGTGCCAGATGCCATGGACGAGTGAGAGGATGACAATTGGTTTGATAGGGGTAAATAAACGAGAGCAAACATTTGTACAGCGGCGTGCAGCCTGCTCAAGTTCCTGAAGGCTTGGCTGGCAGCCCCTCCCGGGCTGGCTCAGGGGCAGAGGGGAACCCGCGCGACTGGGCCTCCGAGTTAGCCTCCCCTCTGCTAGTTAGAGGGACGCTTTTCGAGCGTTTTCTTCTAACGTGACCAGATAGCCTGGAGAAGGTGAACTGCTGTTGTGCGAGGTGAAGGTGTGACCGTGAACACAGCGATGGAGAGAGCTGGGGGCCAGATGCCCGGGAGCCCTGAGCCGTCCTTCCTGGTGACTCTGGGTGACCCTCAGGTGACCCTGCTGTCTGTCCACAAGCGGTGGTCCTTCAGGAGGAGCCCTAGGGTCACGGGCTCCTCCAGGCCAGTGATTTCGGAGGAGGAATGCTCTCCCCCATCAGAGAAGGGAGAATTTTCACAGAAAGTTTTGAATAAAACACAGGAGGTCAGTTCCAAGCAGGTGAGTGCCGTTGGAGAAGGGCTGAAAAGCCAGGAGGGCTTTTTATAAAAGCTCCAGGTTATAGATGGAGGTTTCCCGCGTGTCTCATGTCAGAAGGGCCAGGAGCAAGCAGCTCTGGGGTAGGGAGTGAGCCAGGGGTCCAGGGGAATTTTCCAGGGATTAAGTTCATGGTGGATAAATCTTGGGTTTTGTTGCTTCTTAGTTTCAGGATATTTTGTAAACGTCTGTGGTGCACAAGTTTCCCAAAACGCAAATCAGACAAAAATGGATCTTTTCCCCCTTTTTATTTTTTAACGTGTTTACCTTATTTTGTTAATCTTCACATTTCAGCTAAATAAACATTTTGAAAGTGTTGCTGCCCAATGAACCCGCTCTTCTTAAGCAAACGAAGGGTTTGTTAACCCAAACGTCAGGTCATGTTCAAAAGCAGGGCAGTGCAACTAACGCTTTGTAAAAATGGTGCTGCAGCAGCATTTCTGGGTGGGACTGGTGGTCTGTGTGGGGTCCTTTTCATTGACATGAGTAGATGGAAAAAAAAAATACTACTTAGATATAAAGGAAAGTTTTCGTAAGTCCTTTTTGCTCCTTGAAGAGTTATTTTTGTTTCTTCTGGTGTTAATTGTTTAAAAAGTCTTTAAAAGTAAGGGAAATTTTGTGAGTAGAGATTTTTGAAATGTACTATGCAAGAGATGTTTGTATGTTGAAGGAGACTTATGAACATCCATTTATGCAGTACACAGTCAACTTTTATGTTTCTAGTTGAATGTCTTAAGATAGCAAAATAATTTTTTTTTTTTGTAAAATACTTGAGAATATTCCTTTCTTCTTTTTTTTTTTTTTTTAAATTTTTTGTGGTAAGGGGGCCTCTCACTGTTGTGGCCTCTCCCATTGCGGAGCGCAGGCTCAGCAGCCGTGGCTCACGGACCCAGACGCTCTGCGGCATGTGGGATCTTCCCGGACCGGGGCACGAACCCGTGTCCCCTGCATTGGCAGGCGGACTCTCAACCACTGCGCCACCAGGGAAGCCCTCCTTTTTTTTTTTTTTTTTGAGAGCATTTCTTTAAAATGTTCAAACTACTACTTGACAAAATTCAGCCTATGTCTGAGGTATTTGAATGTGAAATATTCTAATGGTTTTTAATGGCCACTTCCAACCTCATGTGACGAGGAAAGCAACCTGAACCTGGCCGGGGAGCCCTTCAGAAAGAGGGCTCTGGGTAGAGGCTGTGGCTGCAAGAGAGTCAGGTGCAGATCTGCGCCCTTGCTGGCCTGTGGGACCTGGCAGGTGAGCCTTGGACTCCTCCAGCTTCAGGTTACTGGAATGAGAAGTCCTGCCTCTCTGGGACGTGAAAGCACCTTGTCGAGTACTGTGTAAACGCACAATGGTATCATCTCTGCCGAAATGATCTTCAGCAGGACTCCCAGCTCGGAGATGTGTTTGGTGCTCTCTGAATGTCTGGTAGAACTCTGTCAGCCAGTTAATCCATCTGAGCACAATTGCAACTATTTTTTTCTGAAGCTCTGATTGTAAAAGTAACACCTGCTCATTCTACAAAACAAATTTAACATGAGGCAAGGGGAATATGGAAAAATGTAAAGAAAATGAAAACAGCCACATACTTCAGCCATTTTGCCACTACACATGTGAATGTGTATACGTGAGTTTGTGTATGTGTACGTAGTACTATATACCTTCTATTTTTTACTTAATATTTTGTGGATATATATATACACACATACACACACACACACACACACATACACATACACATGCATATACATTATATAATTTAAATTAATTACCCTCAAATGGGAAATTTGTAGTAGCTGGTTTAAGATAAGAACCAAACTAAATGTCAGTTACAATTGAGTATTTGTTCACTGTTACAGTGTATTGACTCAAAGTCTGCTATAAATCAAACTCTGGGTCTACTTGAGAGCTGTCTTATTTAGTACTTGGTATGTGGAAGGGACTTGTCACCTCATTTAATCACTATCCTCCTTTAACAGACAGAAACCTGAGATCAAGAGGTTAGGTAATCTGGGGACTTCCCTGGTGGCGCAGTGGTTAAGGATCCTCCTGCCAATGCAGGGAACACAGGTTTGATCCCTGGTCGGGGAAGATCCCACAGGCCGCAGAGCAACTAAGCTCACGAGCCACAACTACTGAGCCCATGTGCCACAACTACTGAAGCCTGCGCGCCTAGGGCCCATGCTCCGCAACAAGAGAAGCCACCGCAATGAGAAGCCTGCAACGAAGAGTAGCCCCCGCTCGCCGCCAACTAGAGAAAGCCCATGTGCAGCAATGAAGACCCAACGCAGCCAAAAATAAATAAATAAATAAATTTAAAAAAAAAAAAGGTTAGTTAATCTGCCTGAAGGATTTAATACCAGGTCTGTCTGAGGACAGGCCGCTTGCTTTTCTGTTGGGACAGGGAAGTATTTAACATGTTGGGTGAGATAGGGTTTGAAAACATCTGAGTATTGCAGAGCTGCTAATCCATGGTGAATGAAAAGTTAGCTTTTAGGTTATGCATTGTTCACAAAAGATGCAGGTAGCTGCTCTGAAGAAAACATTTCAAAATTGTGTTTGTGGTTAGCGGATTTGTGTGCTTGTGTTTACATTTCTCATACCACGTAGAGTATGTTCTATGCGGTTTAGAATGAAGATGTGATGTTGGGCAAGGGGTCAGTTTCTTCTGTGTTTTGGACAGAGGGGGAAGTGCCTTTCTGAAAGGCGTAACTGGTCTGGAGAGGCCATCCCTCCCTCCCACCTATGTTAGATTCGCCTCTTCGCTGGTGTGAGCAGGCTCTGTGGGCCAGGCCATGCCTGGTGGGTTTCCCAGGCAGTTACTCCACCACCACCCCACCCCGCCAGGAGCGCGCTCACCAAAGAGGAGAAGGCGGGGGCCTCAGCGCCCTGGCCTGGCTCTTCTGGCCCTGCGTCCGCAGGCCTCCCTGGGGCTCTTGTTTCCTCTCAGGCCCGGGACGATGGCCTGGAAAGAAACAGGCTCCTACCTCTCAGAACCCCTTTGGGGAGTTGTGGGCAGCAGAGATTCCTGGTCCTCGATCCAGCTGGAGGGTGTAGGGAATATGCCCCTTTCTGCTCAGCACTGCCTGCCTGGGCCTTCTTACCCATGGCCTTCCTGACGGCTGTTGCCAAGCTAGGCCGCCGTGTTATGTGTCTTTCTCTTCCACATCGGGCAGTGTATTAGTCTACGGTAATAAGTAAGCTGTTGAGTGAGTGAACAAATACATGAACCGGAAGTGATTTCTGTGGCAGGAGGGAGGGCTGATGTTGGAAACACTGAACTGATTGATGACTGTGATGAGAGTGTTGGGTTGTGGGCTTAACCATTTTAGAAAGCAACCTACAGGAGTCTGTGCTGGGTGAGGGTGGTCAGGCTGGGTTTTATTTTTGCCTAAATGAAACCAAGACAGCCCAGCTGGCACAGGCGTACCCCTGCTGAGTAAAGGAAAAAAATAGCTGAAGGGAGTGATCTAGTCACTTAAAGATGTCACTAGCAAATTGTCATGGAATCATCATCAACCGTACTATAGTATTATTCACTCTTCTAGAGAACTTGTATTTCTTTATTTTCCCCTAAAGTTAGTGTCTACTGGATATAAACATCATAACAACGTATAGAAATGTGGATCTCTTCCTCTAGAAAAACAGGGAACAGTGTATACTCTTACACGGTTCTGCAACTTTTCCCCCCTTTAATCTACCAGGGATGTCTTTCCATGTCAATACATGTAAATTCACCTTTTTTAAAAAGCCACTACATAAAATTCTATTGGATGGATACTTTATGTAACCTGTTCTCTATAGACGAATATTTAGATGGTTTCCACGTTTTCACTAGTGAGTGTACCAATGGACATTCTCATGTCACTGTATATCTATATGATGAAAAACCCAGAAGTGGAATTACTGGGACAAAGGCAATGGGCATTTAATATTTTGACAGATATTGCTTCATTGCTCTCAAAAAGGTTGTGTTCTACCAACATCATCTCATATAGTGAGTGACATCCATCATCTCATATAGAGTTTTCTAAAAAAAAGGGAAAAAATGTGTTTTTTTCTTGTGATGAGAACTCAGGATTTACCCTCATAACAACTTGCATATATACCATACAGCAGTGTTAACTATAGCCGTCATGTTGTGCATTACATCCCTAGTATTTATTTGTCTTATAACTGGAAGTTTGTAGCTTTTGACCACCTTCATCCTATTCCCCCTCCCCTCCGCCGCCTCAGGTAACCACAAATCTGATCTCTTTTTCTGAGTTTTTTTTTTCTTTCTTTTTGTTTTAGATCCACATATAAGTGAGGTCATACAGTATTTGTCTTTCTCTGTCTGATTTAGCATAATGCCCCCAAGGTCCATCCATGTTGTCACAAATGGTGGGATTTCCTTTTTTATGGCTAAATAATATTCCATTGTGTATATATACACCACATTTTCTATATCCATTCATCTATTGATGGACACTTAGGTTGTTTCCATGTCTTTGCTATTGTTTTTTTTTTTTTTTTTTGCGGTACGCGGGCCTCTCACTGTTGCGGCCTCAGAGCACAGGCTCCGGACGCGCAGGCTCAGCGACCATGGCTCATGGGCCCAGCCGCTCCGCGGCACGTGGGATCTTCCCGGACCAGGGCACGAACCCATGTCCCCTGCATCGGCAGGCGGACTCTCAACCACTGCGCCACCAGGGAAGCCCTCTTTGCTATTGTAAATAACGCTGCTGTGAACGTGGGGGTGCATATATCTCTTCAACACAGTGTTTTCATTTCCTTTAAATAAATACCCAGGAGTGGAATTGCTGGATTATATGGTAGTTCTATTTTCAATTTTTTGAGGAACCTCCATACTGTTTTCCATTGTAGCTGTAACAATTTACATTCCCACCAACGTTGCACAAGGGTTCCCTTTTTTCCACATCCTCACTAGCATTTGTTATCTCTTGCCTTTTTTTTAAAAAAACATCTT